AAAAGAATATTAACTACTTATCAAAGTTTTTAAACAAGGTTTGACGTTAGGTCGTGGAATAACATTATAAGTTTATTTATCAATAGTATTAAGTACAGTAAAGTTTAGTCCTAACTAAACAAAAGTAAAAAAACGTACACAGGTTACAGTGTTAATTTATCTCTTTATCGAACTTAGGCCTGACATAAGTTAAAGTTTTATAAAGTACGGCCTATATACAAGTGGATTTATACATTCCGTTGTCTACTATTACAATTCGTTTGTATTGTGCTAGAAATATTATATTTAAAAAAGTACTGTTACGATGAAGATACTAATTTGGCCGTAAATGTTTTGTCTCTGCTAGTTAATTAATAATTATAAGCTTCTAATAACGGCAACCGTTGTTACCCGATCGTCACAATTTTACCATAGTACTTAATGTCGTTTTCTCTGTTTGATACAATGCAAATATTGTTTGGTGCTATGCAAATGCAAAATTTAGTTCACATACTTTATTGGTTCTACAACAAAGGTATACAAATATTGTTACTACATTTAAAAATAAAAAATGTAAAAAAAACAAAAACGTCTGTACGAATCAGTATTTATGTGCAAAAATACTTTTTAAGATAGAAAGTTTTATAAAAACATACCTTTTAAAGTAGAATTAGTATATTTAGAATAGACAACTACAGGCCGGAGAATTAATTAAAACCCAGAATCTCTATCTTCCTATATTTACCTTTTAGTACGCTCCCCAGCAGACTTACAACGCTAAAAACCGGGTTTCGATACCCGTGGTGGACAGAGTACTGATAGCCCATTGAGCTTTGTGCTTAATTACAAACAAACAAACCTTTCAGTACAATGAAAATGGAACGACATATGGTGGTTTATTTAAACACACTTTCTGATATTTTTTAAACACAGTTTAAGGGTTTGCAACATACATACGAAAAAATTACATGTTAGTTGAAATGTTAAACAACACGTAAATAAAATTTAGTTAAAACAAACAAACAAATATTCTGTGGAATTATCACGGTATAGCTTACACATTGATTTATTACCATTAGTTGATAGGAGTGAATATTTTTGTAAATCTTACTATAAGTATATATATTAGTGATAAAAACTGACCCAGTAACATGTGAAACAATTACAAAAATATTATCAAAAATTTTCATAACATTATCTATAACAAAGTTTGTTTACATAAGTATATTTTTATAACATCTTGTAAGCTAAAAACTATCATTCCTTAATCAGTCATTCTAATTTTCAAACTTTTACTGAGAACAGTAGAAAGTTTAATCACTATGGCTTAACTGATTGAACATAATGAATGAGCACACCAAGCAGTCTTTGTTTAATTTTAAAATCACAAAAACACAGACACAAAGCTCTATATTTATAAATTGTGTGTATATTGTCTTCATATAATCTCCAATTTCAAGTATAATGGAGATTAAATATGTACTTCTAATAATAGATGTGAGTTCAAACATAATTCGATATGGAGTTCGAGAGATGAGCATTTTTACTTTTAAACAATAATTACATCAATGTTACAGCAACCGATCAAGCTTGAATGTTTTTCTTTGGGTTCTTGTGCTGTTTTGGGGATATTGTTTCTGTATTTGTTTCAGAACTTCGCTCAAAACTACACAAGTGTTATTTGAGCATTGCCATTCTTAACTTTTAATCATCAAACTAGAGCTAGTTAGCAGTCCCCTCCCCAACTCTCAGGTTACTCTAACCTGACTCGGGTTTAACCGTCACTCTTATATCCCAGCAAAGGTCCCAAAATGCGGAGGTGCGGAGCGCTTTTTTTTTTTCAGGCAACTGAACGCGAACCACGAGCCTTTGGATTGAAGTCCGAGAACGCTAACTACTAGGTCTTGGCCCGGCATGGCCAGGTGGTTAGGAGCGCTTGACTCGCAATATGAAGGTTGCGGCTCACATCCCCGTCCGAACAAACATGCTCGCCCTTTCAGCCGTGTGGGCGTCATAATGTGACACTCAATCCCACTTTGCATTGGTAAAAGAGTAGCCTAAGAGTTGGGGTGGGTGGTGATGAATAGCTGCCCTCCCTCTAGTCCTTCACTGCTAAATTAGGGACGGCTAGCGCATATAGCGAAATTCAAAACAAACCAAACCACTAGGTCTTGTCCTGCCCTTACACATATGATGTTTCTTTTTTCTCTATGTTTTATCATCCACATAGCAAGATATTAAATCCATCATAGCTTGAAGCAAGAAAAAACAACAACTTTAAGACATGTAATTGTGCAATACTTAGTTTTTCTTTAATGTAGTAGGTTAGTTTTCTACACATTGTGTATTTCCATGAACTTAGAATAACATACTGTTACGACAGCGGAAGTCACGTAACGCTGGTACCATGTAATGAGTATCTAGAAGGATCGGGGAACATCACGAATAATCCAGTATTTGCTAGATGACCTCTATTCCTGTATGTGAGCGCGCCAGATAAAGCGAGACAATTAATTGGAATTGGAATAGCAGATAGACAAATTGAAGATATAGATGCAGTCAATCGAGTCAAGTGAGCGGTAGTGACCATAAGTAAACTTCGTGAATCGTTGTGAATTACAGCGTGTGTTTAAGTTAAAGTGACTGTGGAAATTAAGTGTATTGCAAACTTGAATTGAGAAAGAATAAACTAGTTTTATTTATGAAAGGACCTGTATCGGCTGAAGTTTCTCAGAAAGAATTTCTAAGGAAAATTAACAAACGTGAAAAGAGACGTAACAATTTGGTGTGAGAGAGTGGGACGGAAAAGAAAAAACATGAAACGAGAAGTGGCAAATCAAACTGCAGCTTAGCAGATTTGATGGCAGCAATACAAGAACAGCAAAAGAAACAAGAAGAACGAGAAAAGAAACAACAGGAGAGATTACAGCAGTTGTTGGAGGAAAAGAAAAGAAACAAGAAGAGAGATTACAACAGTTGTTGGAGGAAAAAGAAAAGAAACAAGATGAACAAGAAAAGAAACAAGAAGAGAGATTACAGCAGTGGCAAGAAAACCTGCAACAGTGGCAGCTCGAACAGCAAAATAAACAAGAGAGATTACAGAAGCTGTTGGAAGAAAAAGAAAATGAACAAGAAAAGAGACTACAGCAGTGGATGGAGGAGAAAGAAAATAAACCAGAAGAAAGTATCCAACAATTGAGAGAAAGCCAGAGTACATAAATGGAAAACATTAGTAAATTTCAAAGCGAATGAAATACATTAAAGGATGATTTATTGTCTTTTACACAAGAACGATACATTAACCATCGACTTAAACAGCCTCAGACAATGGCAAGCTCTTTCCAGACCCCCCAGCTAAACCCTAATGCAGACATCTTCAGTCCTGTCAGAAGTCACATTTCAGATATAAATGTCAGCAATAGGGGGTAATCTAGTACGAAGGAAGCCACAGGAATTCGATGGGAAGGCACCGTGGGAAGCATATAGAGCACAATTTGAGCTACTGGCAGAGATGAATAGATGGATGGAGGAGCAGAAAGCAGTGTACCTGGCGACGATCCTGAAGGGACAACCATTGAAAATACTTGGACAGTTGTCAGTAGATGATAGGCACAATTATAGAGCACTGGTAGCTGCTCTAGAACTCAGGTATGGAACCCAAACTTTGTCTAAAGTCTACAGGGCTAGGTTTAGGACGAGAATCCGTGCAAAAGAGCTGGCACAGGATTTGAAAAGTATGGCACACAAGGCCTTCCCAACTGCACCACCCGGTG